ACCACCAGCAGCACCAAGCACCACCACCAATCACCATCACCACCACCACGCACCACCACTAAGCACCACCACCAGCACCACCAAGCACCACCACCACCAAGCAACACCACCACCACGCAACACCACCACCACGCACCACCACACACAACCATCACCACTCACCGCCACAACCCAGTACCACCATGCAACACCACCAAGCACCGCCACCACCAAGCACCACCACCACCAAGCACTACCACTACTACCACGACCATCAAGCAGCACCACCAAGCACCACCAAGCAACACCACCAAGCAACACCACTACCACCAAGCACCACCACCAACACCACCACCAAGCAACACCCCCACCACCACCACGCACCACCACCCCCAACACCCCCAACACCAAGCATCACCACCACGCACCACCACTTCCAAGCACCATCACCACCACCACCACAACCACAACCACCACCAAGCACGACCACCACGAAACAGCACCACTACCACCCACCACCACCAAGCATCATCACCACCAACAGTAGCACGAAGCACCACCACCACCAAGCACCACCACCACCAGCACCACCACCACCAAGCACCACCACCAAGCACCACCACCACCAGCACCACCACAACGAAGCACCACCACCAAGCACCACCACCAGCACCACCAAGCAACACCACCACCAAGCAACACCCCCACCACCACCATGCACCACCACCCCCAACACCCCCAACACCCCCAACACCAAGCATCACCACCACACACCACCACTGCCAAGCACCATCACCACCACCACCACAACCACAACCACCACCAAGCACGACCACCACGAAACAGCACCACCACCACGCACCACCACCAAGCATCATCACCACCAACAGTAGCACGAAGCACCACCACCACCAAGCACCACCACCACCAGCACCACCACCACCAAGCACCACCACCACCACCAGCACCACCACAACGAAGCACCACCACCAAGCACCACCACCACCACCAGCACCACCACCACCAAGCAACACCACCACCAAGCAACACCACCACCAAGCACCATCACGACCACCAAGCACCACCACCAACACCACCACCAAGCACCATCACTACCACCAAGCACCACCACCACCACCACCAAGCACCGTCACCACCACCAGCACCACCACCACCAAGCACCACCACCAGCAAGCACCACCATCACCAGTAAGCACCACCACCAAGCACCATCACCACCACCACCACCACGCACCACCAAGCATCATGACCAGCAACAGCAGCACCAAGCACCACCACCAAGCACCACCACCATGAAGCAGCACCACCACCACGCACCACCAAGCATCATGACCAGCAACAGCAGCACCAAGCACCACCACCAAGCACCACCACCACGCACCACCACCACCAAGCATCATCACCAGCAACAGCAGCACCAAGCACCACCACCACCACCACGCACCACCACCACCAAGCATCATCACCAGCAACAGCAGCACCAAGCACCACCACCACCAATCACCATCACCACCACCAAGCAGCACCACCACCAAGCACCACCACCAGTACCACCACCAGCAAGCACCAGCACCACCACCAAGCACCATCACCACCACGCACCACCACCAAGCACCACCACCACTACCACCACCACCAAGCACCACCACTACCACCACCAAGCACCACCAAAACCACGCACGACCACCACCACCACCAAGCACCACCGCCAAGCACCACAGCTGCCAAGCACCACCACCACCACCAAGCACCACTGTCAAGCACCACAACCGCCAAGCACCACCACCAAGCACCACCACCACAAAGCACCACCACCACCAAGCACCACTACCACCACCATCGCCACCTCGCACCAGCACCACCACCAAGCACCACCACCACCACCAAGCACCACCACCATCGCCGTCACTACCGCCACCGCCACCACCGCCATCACTGCCGCCACCACAACCTCCGCTGCCGCCACCGCCACCGCCACCACCACCACCACCACCACGAAGCACCACCACCACCACCACCAAGCACCAGCACCACCACCAAGCACCACCACCACTACCACGACCACCAGCAGCAAGCACCACCAACACCACCAGCACCAGCACCACCAATCACCACCACCACCGCCACCACCACCAAGCACCACCACGCACCACCAGCACCAGCAGCACCACTACCAAGCACCACCACCATGCAACACCACCACCACACAACACCACCACCATGTACGACCACCACCACCACCAAGCACCACCACCACCAAGCACCACCACCACCAAGCACCACCACCACCACCACCAATCACCACCACCACCAAGCACCACCACCATCGCCATCACTACCGCCACCGCCACCACCGCCACCGCCATCAATGCCGCCGCCACAACCGCCGCCACCGCCACCACCACCACCACCACCACCACCAAGCAACACCCCCACCACCACCACGCACCACCACCCCCAACACCCCCAACACCAAGCATCACCACCACGCACCACCACTTCCAAGCACCATCACCACCACCACCACAACCACAACCACCACCAAGCACGACCACCACGAAACAGCACCACTACCACCCACCACCACCAAGCATCATCACCACCAACAGTAGCACGAAGCACCACCACCACCAAGCACCACCACCACCAAGCACCACCACCACCAAGCAACACCCCCACCACCACCACGCACCACCACCCCCAACACCCCCAACACCAAGCATCACCACCACGCACCACCACTTCCAAGCACCATCACCACCACCACCACAACCACAACCACCACCAAGCACGACCACCACGAAACAGCACCACTACCACCCACCACCACCAAGCATCATCACCACCAACAGTAGCACGAAGCACCACCACCACCAAGCACCACCACCACCAGCACCACCACCACCAAGCACCACCACCAAGCACCACCACCACCAGCACCACCACAACGAAGCACCACCACCAAGCACCACCACCAGCACCACCAAGCAACACCACCACCAAGCAACACCCCCACCACCACCATGCACCACCACCCCCAACACCCCCAACACCCCCAACACCAAGCATCACCACCACACACCACCACTGCCAAGCACCATCACCACCACCACCACAACCACAACCACCACCAAGCACGACCACCACGAAACAGCACCACCACCATGCACCACCACCAAGCATCATCACCACCAACAGTAGCACGAAGCACCACCACCACCAAGCACCACCACCACCAGCACCACCACCACCAAGCACCACCACCACCACCAGCACCACCACAACGAAGCACCACCACCAAGCACCACCACCACCACCAGCACCACCACCACCAAGCAACACCACCACCAAGCAACACCACCACCAAGCACCATCACTACCACCAAGCACCACCACCAACACCACCACCAAGCACCATCACTACCACCAAGCACCACCACCACCACGCACCGTCACCACCACCAGCACCACCACCACCAAGCACCACCACCAGCAAGCACCACCATCACCAGTAAGCACCACCACCAAGCACCATCACCACCACCACCACCACGCACCACCAAGCATCATGACCAGCAACAGCAGCACCAAGCACCACCACCAAGCACCACCACCATGAAGCAGCACCACCACCACGCACCACCAAGCATCATGACCAGCAACAGCAGCACCAAGCACCACCACCAAGCACCACCACCACCACCACGCACCACCACCACCAAGCATCATCACCAGCAACAGCAGCACCAAGCACCACCACCACCACCACGCACCACCACCACCAAGCATCATCACCAGCAACAGCAGCACCAAGCACCACCACCACCAATCACCATCACCACCACCAAGCAGCACCACCACCAAGCACCACCACCAGTACCACCACCAGCAAGCACCAGCACCACCACCAAGCACCATCACCACCACGCACCACCACCAAGCACCACCACCACTACCACCACCACCAAGCACCACCACTACCACCACCAAGCACCACCAAAACCACGCACGACCACCACCACCACCAAGCACCACCGCCAAGCACCACAGCTGCCAAGCACCACCACCACCACCAAGCACCACTGTCAAGCACCACAACCGCCAAGCACCACCACCAAGCACCACCACCACAAAGCACCACCACCACCAAGCACCACTACCACCACCATCGCCACCTCGCACCAGCACCACCACCAAGCACCACCACCACCACCAAGCACCACCACCATCGCCGTCACTACCGCCACCGCCACCACCGCCATCACTGCCGCCACCACAACCGCTGCTGCCGCCACCGCCACCACCACCACCACCACCACGAAGCACCACCACCACCACCACCAAGCACCAGCACCACCACCAAGCACCACCACCACTACCACGACCACCAGCAGCAAGCACCACCAACACCACCAGCACCAGCACCACCAATCACCACCACCACCGCCACCACCACCAAGCACCACCACGCACCACCAGCACCAGCAGCACCACTACCAAGCACCACCACCATGCAACACCACCACCACACAACACCACCACCATGTACGACCACCACCACCACCAAGCACCACCACCACCAAGCACCACCACCACCAAGCACCACCACCACCACCACCAAGCACCACCACCACCAAGCACCACCACCACCGCCATCAATGCCGCCGCCACAACCGCCGCCACCGCCACCACCACCACCACCACCACCACCACGAAGCACCACCACCACCACCGCCGCCACCACGAAGCACCACCACCACCACGAAGCACCAGCCCCCGCGCCAACGCCCTGCCATGCCCCGCCCCGGTCCCCTGCGAGTCACGCCTTCCGCCTTCTGCGCCTGCGCGGCAGATCCCGGCTGGAGGACGCCGGGGAGGCGGGGTGTTGGGGGAGTCGGTGTGCTTGTCACGACGCACGCGCTAAGGGGCGCGTGCTGAGGGCGGTTTGGGGCCTGCGCGGCGCCAGTGGTGCTTCCGGGGGGGCGTGGCGAGGAGGAGGGAGGGAGGAGGAGGAGAAGAAGAAGAAAGGGAAGAAGGGAAAGGGGAAAAGGAAAAGGGACAGGGACGTGCATTGGCGCCTGGTGGGTGCAAGTGAGCGGCGGGTCGTGCCGGGGCCGGGGCCGGTGGCGCTGCGGGGGTGCGGCGGAGGGGAGCGCGGCGCCTTGCCCTGGCTGACAGCGCCGCGGCGCCTGCCCGGCTTCTCGCCCTCCTTCCCAGGCGGGGGCTGCCGCCGCCCGCTCTCTCATGGAGCACGAAGACTGTCCCGAGCTGGTCCCGATAGACGCCGGCGGCGCGGGGGAGACCGAGTCCGGCCCCAGCAGGAAGATTCCCGTGACGATCATCACCGGATACTTGGGTGAGGAGCGGCCTGCCGCGCTTCCCGGCGCTGGGAGGAGCCGTGCGGCGGGCCTGCGGGCTCCGGGTGGGTGGCGCCGGGGTGAGAGGCTGCGCTGCGACCGGGCTGGGGGCTACGGGGTGGCCCGCACTCCGACCGGCCGGCGGAGCGGCGGCCCTGGCGGCAGCGGCAGCGGCGGCGGCAGCAGCGGCGGCGGCCGCCTCCCGGCCCGCGGGTTGGGAGAGCACACCAGACCCTGGCGGCACAGCAGCGGGGAGGCCTCCGCGCTTCGCCGCGCTGCCCGCGCCGTGTCCTCATGCCGCCGTTCCCGTTAGGTTTTGCAGAAGGAGTGTGGACAGCTCTACAAGCTCCCGGTGCTGCTTTCTCCCCAACACCTTTTCAGGGCCCGATTCGTTCTGGTCATGTTTGGCAAACCACTTTTTGCCACTTAATGCCAGAACAGTGTAATGTATTTGCCTCGGTTACGTGCAGAGTGAATTGCAGTCTCACAGATGGGGGTTTGGCTTCCCTCTCTTAAGTCAACACAGTTACTGTGAGTTTCAAGTCTAGTTATACTCGCTAAAGACCAGGGTAAATTTAGGATCGCCAGCACTGTTCTAAAAGTTGTAACTTTGTACGGCAGCATACTCTCTCAAAAAACCCTCAGGGCAGGGGAGGAAGGCTGCTTTACTGAATTTCCCTAGTTGAGATCTTGTGCATGGGATGAAACTGTTAGTAATGTGGTATTACAGAAGTTGTGAACACTTTTTAACAATGATTTCTCAAATGGCAGCTAGTAGCATATCAGTGATTATTGATGACAAAAGAGCTGGTCAGAAAAGGCAGTGGGGGGGAGAAGAATAAGCACCTTTTCCTAAGAGAAACGTAAAAATGAGTTTTCTTGGAAAAGGCTGCCTAGCTGGTAGGGGGCTTGTAAGTTTTTCACATACTGACAACTAGTGAATGGAAAACTATGGGTCTTTTAAAGCTGGAATTTAATGTGCGGGTAGTTCTGACAGGTCAAGTCTCGCTACAAATTAATTTTTACAGTGTTATAATAGAGTGGAGGATACAGAATGAAAACTCCTGTTTCAGAAGAGATCAGATTTGCCTGAAGAGTGCATGTGCATAACAGTATTTGTTTTTTATTGGAAAATTTGAGGGTTTTTAAAAAATATTTTAATAGAAATATGGTCTGTGTTTTAGGAGCTGGGAAAACAACTCTTCTAAATTACATACTGACAGAACAGCATAATAAAAGAATAGCAGTTATCCTGAATGAGTTTGGAGAAGGTATGTAAACCTGCAGAAACATTTTTCTAGCTATAAAATGGCAAATATATAAAATTTTTGGAAATCAATAAGATTGTAGTTTTAAACCCATTACTGAAATTATGGACATAGCTCATAGTCTTCAGAAGGGGAAAAAGTCTTTTGGCTGTTGTTCATAAAATACTGCTGTACATTAATCTGTTTTGTACATAAATTCAGTCCCTCAGAGTCAAGTAAAATGAATGTATCACCATGTTGGAAGTGCTATATGTCCATTTGTCCTACGTGATTTCAAGGAAACGGCAATTAAAATAACATGTTGGTAGATCATACTTTCTTTTGTTTCCCCTCAGCCACTTAGAGATCACAAATTACCCCAAACCAAGAAAATGGGGAGATATGTGCTTGGTGTCAGTGGTTCTTTGAACTCTTTGCTTTCCTTCTCAGGATTTTTAACTGTTATGGCTTTAATTTCATATCTGTACCATAGTCAGTGTTGCTTACAGTTTGCACGCTGGTGGGGGTGGGTTTTTTGTTTTTATCAACAAAGATGCATGCTGCTTTTCTAGTCATGGAGCCTAAAATAAGATGTATAGACAGAACCTTTATTTGATATAGAGGGAGAGACTGACTACCCTTTCTTTTAGCAAAATTTGTGGCATTTATGCTGCGCTTTCATCCTCTGGGATTTGGTCTTAGTAGAACTAACTTGACTTTGGCTTTTAAATTTCTCATAAAACAGAAAATACTAATTTCTGAAGAATCTGTCAGAAACGTGGTCTCAGAAGAAAAAAATATACTTGAAGAGTAAAAATGTATACCAACTTGAATATTTCATATCTCTCTTGCTGGTGTTGTCATGCATGTTTGTAGATTAAAATTACAGTACTACTTATATTTCTAGGCAGTGCCTTGGAGAAATCCCTGTCAGTCAGTCAAGGGGGAGAACTCTATGAAGAATGGCTGGAGCTCAGAAATGGCTGTCTGTGCTGTTCAGTAAAGTAAGGAAGGACTGTTTTATCACTTCTTAAAATGGATTTTGGGGGAAATTGAAGAAGGGAGAAGATACCCAGGATTTGATTTCTAAAACTGGTGGTAGTATTTATTGAGTCTTCTTTTGTCAGATAAAACAAGAATTGGAATTTGGAAGATAGAATTTTATTTCCTTTTGCTGCCTTACTGGGTTTGGAGTTAGTGTCTTTCAGAAAAATAAGCTGAATGCCAACTTATACACCATTGGGGTTTTGTAGGGTAGGGAGCTCTCCCGCTTCTGTTAGTGTTAAATGCTTTTATACAGAAAGCTAAAGATTCAGGGAGGCTGGAACTAGGACTCAAATTTCCTAATGTCCACATTAAGTACTTTGTGTCTGTATGTTGATTAATACTTGAATATTGTATACTTCACGAAGGGTGGAGGGAGAACCTTTTGGTGGCCTAATGAAACAGTATTCCAGATGGTAAGCTGATGGTCACATTAAAAAGCAGGAGCGTATTTGTTTTTGATGTGTTTTTACCCTGCTTGTTTGAATGCTGGATTGTTTGTGCTAAGTTTGTGATAAAGGTGGTGGCCCATTTGTCCTGAAAATTCAGAAGAACTAGTGCTGTGCCTTAAACTGGGATAGTAAGTGGAAAACAGAAGACCCTATTGCACTGTGTTCTACTGGGCTGTAAGGACGGCTGCTATTGCTGCTATGGCAATGGTTTATATACATTGGTTTCTTATATAAAATGCCATACATACGTGCTTCAGACTGACTTTATCAGCTGAGATTTAAGTAGATGACACATCTTAATTTTGCTGTAGGTGAGGTGGAAAGGCAGGAGAACATGTTTCTTTTCCCTCACCCCCTCCACATACCCACTTTCTTTTTGTAATCGCAGCTGCCAAACCAAGTAGCTATATATTTATACAACCCTACTGTCCTTTACAGGATTTTCAGTGTTTGAAAACAAATCTTCATTTAAATCACCTTTATTATGCCTGTCAGAATTAGGCAAATACTATTTTCAGATGAACATTAAACAGAAAGCTACAATTTATCTAATATTAGAGCAGCAGATTGATGACTGAAGTTTCATTGTAGACTGTAAGTCCTGACTCAGGCCATTGCTTTGATGGTACTGACACTGTGTTCTGCATTAGAAGATACATGTTTATACATGTTTTAGCTTGGTTTCTTTGTTCGCAAGTTTAATTGTTTCTTCCTACAGGGACAGTGGTGTGAAGGCTATTGAGAACCTGATGAAAAGGAGGGGAAAATTTGACTATATATTGTTAGAAACAACTGGTTTGGCAGATCCAGGTAATTTACATTATGGCATTCATAACCATGATAATTATTCTGTTCTTATGAAGTGACTTATGAAGTCACTTCACTGTGCAAAATGTAATATAATGTGGTGAGTTGTCTGACACATGCTTTGATTGCTATATAGGCTAAAACTGAATTGGATAAGGTGCAGAAGCAGTGTTGTGGGTGGGGTTGTTTGGTTTGGTGTTTTGTTTTTTTTTTTTGAACTTGCTCTAAATTGACTCTAAATCTTAACAGAAATCCAGCTAAAATATATTCCTAGCAAGAGAAGACACAGATCTTGGAGAAGAGAAGCACACTGAAACTACTAGTTTTCATTAGGCTTTTGCTGTTCTACATTGTTCCTTCTAAAGCATAAATTATTAGCATCTGATATGTTGTTACATTGGTTGTGACAGGCCTTATATTTTGTGAAGTCATAACATATGCTGCGAAACAGACTAATACATTCTTCTGCTAGATACAGAACAATAATAGATCTTACAAATTCCTTGTGTGTTCTTTAGTGATACTTATTATAAAAAGGTGTTTAAAATTGAGCTCATGTTAGTAATAGCTATCTAAAACAAGTTTCTCTGAACCATCTCAATTAAAAATTTGTTGATTGAGAGTGAAGGAAATTCTTAACAGAAATTCAGTTGTTTCCCATTGAGGAGACTGACACTTTCCAGCTCAAAGCTAAATAGTTGTCATGGTAAAGTAATTTTCTTCAAAAGAAAGGACATTGATTTGGCCTCTGTTACACACAAATTCCGTTAGAGTCAAATTGGAAAACTATTAAGCTTTTTGGAAAAAAAATCAATAGATACCAGAAAACCATTAGTTGTTGTGGCCCTTGCTGTATCTTGCACAAGTAAGCACTGTGAAAAACTGACAGGTATTTGGTGTTGATACAGTGTGATATTTGGAGGGATGCATCTTGTCACTTCCAGTGGACAGTTTTAAGTGTTAGAATGAGTGTAGTTACTGACATTTTTTTTTTTTCTGATGTGCTTGATAGCCTTAGGCAGCCTGACAGTAACTAAGGATCTGATAATTGAAAAAAAACAAGTACTGTCATTGCTGTCAGCTCCTCCTGTCCTTCATATTGTGGCACTGATATATGTTAAATTGGTTTGTTTAGTACAAATTGTGATTTTTTTTTTTTCCTCTTTAAAATAAATCTATAGCACACCTTACAGTTGCTACAATCTTTTTAAGGACTATTTTAGCAGACAACAGGAGTAGCATACTCCTAGGCCATATGTAATACACAGATATCAGGTCACACGTTCCAAGTCCTTGATAGAATGGTCCTGGGTAGATGTCGAAATACTTGCTAATTCTTTTTGCTCAAGACTTGTCTGTTTAGTATATTTGATTTTACATCCTGAAGAATACAAATGACCGTATGAAGAAGAGAGAGTACTACATGTTTCATTATTCCAGAAGTACCTCCTATGGATGGAAATTCAGTGGATGATGAGGCCTAGCATGTGAAAAATGCAAGAATCATATAATTGGAATAATTCAGTTTGGAAAGGATGTTAGGAGGTCTTTAGTCCAACGTCCTGCCCAAAACAGGGTCAGCTATAAGACAAGACCAGGTTCTTTGGGATCCAGTCATATATCTCCATCCTCTGAAGATAAACATGACATAACCTCTCCAAGTGACCTGTTCTGTGCCTGCCTTTTCAGGGTAAAAAAAAATTTTTTTCTGATACATGTGGTCTGAACTTTGCTTACTTCAACTTACTACAGTTGTCTTACATTTTTCTGCCACAGTCTCACTGAATCTCCTCAGTGACTCACCTATAGGTATCAGGGAGGCTGCTGTTAGGTTCTGCAGAAGGTGTCCTTTCTCCAGGCTGAACAGATGTGGTTCCCCCACCTCTCCTGTGCTCCAGCCTCAACTGTTTTGGTGATCCCACGCTGATCTCTTTCCTGTATGAGTGAGCCCCATGCTTGAAGTGCTAGCCAGATGTGGGATTGAAAATGCTGAATAGAGGAAATTAACCTCCCTCGGCCATGCTTTTGTTTTCTGTTCCAGCAGTCTGGGGTGCTTTTGGCCTTCTCTGATCCCAGGGCACACTGCTTGCTCAGCTTGCTGCCTACCAGGACACCCAAGGCCTTCTCTGTAAACCTGTTCCCCAGCCAGTCTGTGCTTAGCCTGTGTCACTGCCAGGGGCTCTTTGTTCTTAAGTGTGTAACTCAAATGTTTTTCCTTGATGAATTTCATCAGCTTCTCGTTGGCCATTCTTTCCTCTCTGGCCCAGTCCCTTTGAAAGATATCTCTGCCCTCAGATTATCTGTTCCTGTCTGAATTGAATGTTCTCTGCAAACTTGATGGGCATGTCTTCCACCCCCTCCTGGGTTCCTGGTGGAGGTGTTGAACAGGACAGGCCCCTGTAGTACCCTACTTACTGCTGTCTGCCAGGTAGAGTGTGACCCACTAACTGCAATCTTTAGAGCTTAACTACCCAACAAGTTTTACCTAGTTGTCTTTCCATTCAGACTGGTGATGTCCCAGCTTGCTTACTAGAATATCTTCAAAGACAGTGTTCAAAAATTTGCTAGAGGTGATGTAAACAGCATGCAGTGCTTTCCCTTTGTCAACAAATAAAATAATTTTTTGACAGAAGGTGGGGTATGGCCTTCCCAGATTGATGAGGCATGATTTATTCTTGTAAACTTCCAGTACAATATCTATTTGCAAATCTAAACCTGCATTATTTATTTCTTAACTCAATCTATCTTGAAATTATCTAAAACCAGAAGCTTTCCTGTGCAGACCTGAGATAATTAAGGAAAACATTATTTTCTATATCCAGTTATTGTTGACTTTCTTCATCCTGTTGATTTATGATGTAAGAAACTGAATAGGAGAGTTTATAGAAGTCATTGAAGAAGAGAAGGTCCCTAGGAGGGAACTGATTTCTCTCAAATGTCCCAATTCCATTTTTCTTTAACTTTTGTCTCCCTTTTAATCTCCTCTATGTATGCGTGCACCATGACCTAGAAACAGTGGCTGAAAAATTAAGTGGGGGAGTACAAACTTCTTTAGAAATGAGGGAACCTTGGAGTATAGTAATGGCAGGTAGTTGATATTACTGAGTAAAGGTAATTTAGACAACTTGCATCTGGAATTGTGAGATTTTTAAAGCTTTTTGTAGTCATAGCTGTTGATGTGCACACAAGTAAAATGCTTTGGCAGCTGTTAGGTCAAATGTGTGGTTGGATATTTGACATCTGTGATGCTTTCTGAGTCTGATAGAAGTTTCAACTACAGCACTATAAATAGAGTTTTTCTATGAAATGTCTGCATGTTGGTAGTTTACTGGAAAATGTCAATTTTGCAACTGAATGTACTGCACTTCTTAGGAGCTGTGGCCTCCATGTTCTGGGTTGATTCTGAGCTGGGAAGTGACATCTATCTTGATGGTAAGAAGAGCAAGCTTATTTTCCAGTGTATTGTCATTCCATACCTGAATTTAGTGTAATGTATTCTTACAATTTAAGGCAAGGTTTCAGAAAATGTTTGAAATGCATGATCTTGGTTCTCAGATCCCCAGATATGGCCACAGAGATCCACTTGCTTATTCTGATGCTTATTTATCTACTTGGTGAGCTGTTTCAGCTTGCCAAATCCAGCAAAAGTTGTGTAATGCTTTTGCTAAGGGATTGGGTATGGAGGGATCTTGATTGTGGTGTAAGGGGGGGGAAAAAATCTCATTAGTTAGTTGCTATAAAACATTATTTAGGAGTAGTATTGCAGCTCTCATTATTTTTTTTCCAGTGTAGTGTTTTGTAAATGGTTTCCTTTTTTCTGAACTCTTAATTTGCCAACATCTAGACTCTCCTGCCTTTTGTGTTCTGCCTTCTTTGTCGATCGTACTCTTGTTAGCCTTAATATTTGCTGTGTTCCAACAAAAGTCTGAGTTTACTGTAATAGAAGTCATTACTATATGTAGTTAAAGAGCATGCTCAATGTTGATTTTTTTTTTTTTTTTTTAATGTAGAAAACCCTCTTATTTCGTTTTAGAAAAAAATCCTACGAACACTTTGGTGTCTGTAGGGTCTGTAAAATACTCATCTAGCCAAGGAATCATTCAGTTGAGTAGGAAACAGCTTCCTAAGTTTCTGCCAGAGAATTGCAGATTCCTGTTATCAGAATATCTGCATACCTCAGTCAGACCCTTTAATTTGTTTTGATAATCTGTAAAAGCATACCTCTGCCAATTTGCTGTTGTGGAAGAGGGATGAGAGGCATTCACCTTGTGAGAATTTATCTCACCTGGTTTAGGAGACATTTTTTTACCATAGATATGAGTTAATAAATAAGAAAATAATTAGGTGACAAGTCTAATGTTCAGATACACTGGAAGCATTGAAAGTATAATCAGTTGTAAATGTGATGATATTTTTAGTTGTGGTTTCATAGGAAGTTTACAAGTTATTGATTTGTTAGCTGCTTTCACCACATTTCTATTCCATTTTAATGTTCTGTTTTAGGTATTGTATCTGTTGTTGATGCAAAACATGGATTGCAGGTAGGTTACTGTATTTGTTACATGGTTTAAAACTGCAATGTTAGAACAGCTGTTGCAGTAATATTAATGTGGATGAATTATGTTTTTACGGTAGCTTTAATTCTTACAATGGATGAAGATGTATTTCAGTTGAATTGGTACATCAGTACTATATTTTAGATAGAAACAAGGAAGTACTGATAAGGAATTCAGATTTTTACCAACACAGCAGCATGTCTACTAAGAGTTGTCAGGTTGCTAGATGCTTGAGTCCTTCTAGTTCTATCACTTCATTCAGGAATCTTGGTTGTATTCCAAACAGGCATTTGAATTACTGTAAAAACAGTGGAGAAATTTCTCTTACAGTGTCATTAGTCCATGTTACTTGAAAGGAGAGGAGTAAGAACAGACATCTGATACTAGCATGGTAACAAGTTAGTTAGGGTTCACTCGGGAAGGGTGCTAATGTAATGGAAGCTGTGGTGAGGAGACATGAGAGCCAGGTGTTTAGGTAACATTTCAGATTAAAACATTACTTTATTATATGGAAGCAGACAAAAAGAGCAGGTATTAGAGTAATTTATATAAAGTGTAATATAAGAACAGACCTATAGAAAGCTAAGTTTGGATAACAGCAGAAATTGTGATTAAATCAAATTTTTTTTTTTTTGGTGTTTTTTTTGTTTGTTTTTTTTGGTAATATCTAGTAATAAATATAATTAAATGCAATTTAGTAACTTAAGAAGTGACTACTTTGATTAGGTATTCATTTTGAAAGATTCAAAATAAAAAGTGACCATAAGAAAGGATGCCTCCATGGTATAAAGTTCCCATCATTCTGTGGAAATGTTTTTAATATCTCTGTATTTTACAACAGCTGTAAAAGGCTGAGAAAACTGAAGAGAAATGCTTTAAAAAATAAGTGATCTCCCTTTTATAAGATTTTATTTTGTTTGGACTATTTGAGTGTCTCATTTCATTTAAGCTGATCTAATAGCTGATTTACCAAAAGGGCATAGTCCTGTCCTCTCGTCAGTTTGTGTTGCATCAGGACAGATTTAATCTAAGCCCATAGCACACCAGTTTGTCAAGTTCAGCCACTGTGTTTTGCAGGGACTTTTGTGGAGGAGTTGGTAGAAGAACGAGGGGAAGGGACTGAGAGCTGGTTTTCCCTTTTAATCACAACAGACTTTTAAATCAGCTCAACTATCACAGGAAACCATGGCATGTCTTAAGTCAGCCCCTTTTTCAGCTGAGTGTCCTCATACTAATTTAGATGTGTTATATTACTTGCAAAAATATTGTTCTGTTTATCTTCATGCAATGCTGATTGATGGGCCTAAATGAAATATAACTTGAACACAGCAGTACTAAATTATTATTGTGTACAAAATAATTTTTTTAATATTTAAACTTCAAAGTAATATGTCAGAAAGAACATCCGTGGCAGCTCACTGAAAACTATTACATTACTTAATCAGTAACCCTGTACAACACTGACATCCACTCAGAATAATAGAAACTTCAGACTTTCTCAGTTATATTGCAAGTAAACAACTTTTGCTTTGTATAAAGGAATTGCTAACTTGCTCAATTCCTCCAGTTGCAAAGCTTGACCTCAACAGCTGCTTGTGATTCAAATAATTTTGAAAGCCATACAGGTAATGACATTGAGATAACAGGCAGCAATTTAAGGGTGTCATGCTTCAGAGAGCCAACCCATCACAAGAAAAGCTGACAAATAGTACCGTGTGACCAGTGAGCCAAATTGAAACTGAAGTGGTAATTGATATCATGGGTTATCACTCTAATGGATTTGTCACCCAAGCAATCTGAAATACTCATTTTTAAAATCAAGGGCAAACAGTTGGACAACTTGAAGTGACAGTTCTCTACTTTCCAGACTTGACATCTGGACTACTGACATTGTTCTTTTCAGGGCAACAAATCTGACAACATTTAATTCAATAGAATCAATACACAGAGGATTACAAAGAAAAGGTCAGAGGAGAGATCCCTCCCAGTCATCCTGTTGTTATGCTCTTTATGTTCTGCTTAGGTTGTGCACAATCAGGAAATAGTTTGGGGGTTTTCTTCCTTTTTTTAAAATTTTTTTTAAATTTTTTTTTAAGGTGACAGACTGGCAGGATGCAATAATCTGTTTTTGTTTCTCAAGTCACATAGTGTTAGATGCCTTATAATTCCACTTAAAGAAAAAAGAGTTTTCTAGGGTTTTTTAATGTATATATTTCTAATGACAATAAATTCTTCTTTCATTGGGTATTCCTGTGTCTTTAAAACCAATTTTTAAAATAATATGCCCGATGAAGGAATGCACAGGACTCTCTAATCTTCCTTGAGATTCCCCAGTAAGGCTTAAGTGGTGAGCTGTTATTAATATTACAGCATCAGTTTAAAATTTTACTGCTTCCAGGTGTCCATGATGCTTCTCCCTTGGAGATTGCTTCCTCCATGGCGGAGTGGACAGAAAATAGCCTGTAGCTGAACCTTTGCTGCTTCAGTGTAGTCTGTCGCTCTGCCTAAATTAGTAAGGCTGTATGTTGCTAAACTTCATGCTGCTGCTTGAGATACATGCATTTTTTTCACTTTCACTGATTCTTCTATGAGGACATTAGCTTGGGCAGACAGGTGAAGCACAAAGCTGTGGATGATACTGAACTCCTGCAGTACAACCAGAAGCTTCTGCTTTTGTCAGTGCTGACTGACTCTTCTGCACAGTTATAGCTCAAGTAGGCTGCAAACACTGATGTTGGGCAGAGTTGCCAAGGAGTAGTGGTTTATTTGTATAAACCCAGAGAAAGAGTTTGAAATTTTTATAGTAAAAGTACAGTTTGCCACATCTTTCAGAGAAAAGGAGTATGCAGTTACATATATGAAATCCTGTTAGATGCCTAAACCATCTTTAATAGTTAATTGGCATCACAGTCATTGGTAAAATTACTGTACTTTAATTTTTTCAGATATGTTTTTCTGTGGTTACTGTATGGTGACTTTTTAAATTACTTTTCAGATTTATAATGAAGTTAAATGTAATACAGTTTTCCAACTCTTCAGAATTCTAATCATAAAACTAATTAAAAAAGGAGAGTTTTCCTAAAAGAAATTATAAGCTTCTATAATGGTGAATGTATAAATGTTCTTTTTGACCGTCATTTTACAGAAAAATCGTATATACGATCTTCCTCAACACCTTGTTGAAAAACCTGTCTCAGCTGAATTGGTTCTGACTTCCTTTAATTGCAAATGAATTTAAATGGCATTTGAATATGCTTAATCCAATTGTTTTAATTTTTGTCTAGCACTTGACAGAGGAAAAGCCAGAAGGCCTTGTCAATGAAGCATCTCGGTATGGATGTATAAATTAATTTTGTATATCACAGTCAGGAACTGCACTGTATAGAATTCACTAGAAATGGCTTCTTTTTCTTTTATAAGGCTTTTTTCTCCTCCTTTGCTTTTAAACCCAGATAGATTGGTGTAATGAAGTAGAAAATAGAAAAGTGATTTCATGCTCCATTTGGTCTTTTGCCAAGATCTCACTCTTCTAATACATATTTTAAGAGGGATGGGATTGTACGTAAGCGAAAGGCAACCACTTGTGTTGAGGGAATAATGAATTGCATGCTAGGATCTATCAGATGCTCAAATTGTAACTGGAGAAGGGTAATTGTAACAATAGATGTCTTCATAAAGCAGATTTCAAGTATGACTTTATGAAGACTACATGCAAGAGAAATAGGGGCTTGTGAAGTTCATAAATTGCCAAGCACTTTGGATTAGATGACATTTTGTTAAAAAACTAAATAAAACAAAAACTAGCAAGCCTTTGTACGTTGGTAGACTTCTCTTACAGCACAGAAGAGCACCTCAAGGAGAAGCCAGCAGTACTTCAGTCATACTCCCTGATGTTCTAGTTTGATTATTGCTTGCTTTTCTGTACTAACAGTATTCATAGTTTTTCTGGTGCTCTGGGAGAGATGGTGTTTCTGCCTTACCGGAAAAGTATTGTTTGTTCATGTTGTCTTTTTTTTTTTTTTTTTTTTAATGCATAGGCAAGTTGCATTAGCTGATCTTATAATCATCAATAAAACAGATTTGGTTTCAGGGGAAGAATTGCATAAAGTCAGAACATCTGTCAGGTATGAAACTTTTGGCATAACTATAACACTGTACTGGCTCAAAGGTTATTTTTATTGAAACACAGTTACTTCCTTTGTGTTGTTAATGTAGAAATTAGATCTCATAATCACATTGACAACAAATCATCAGCTCAGAAAGGAAAAGAGACTGCTCCTTTCTAAAGGCATTTCAGTACTTTTATGTGCTTACACAGTCTTAACAGTATACCTATCTGGGTAAGATTTAACATTACTGAGTAAGGACAGATCTTTGTCTTAAGTGTCCGTGCTCTTGCATTTCTGGGCAGTTGTTCCCATTTTTCAGAATTAGCATCAGAGAAAAAAAAAATCTGGTAGAAGATACAGGTTCACTAACAAATGCAAACATATATGGAGGAACTCCCAAATAATTTTCATGGGTGCAGAAAAACCAATGGTCTGAATCAAATTAGTGATCAAAGACATGTCCCATCTTTTTCTATTCAATACCATGAAAACCAAAATGAAACACTAAAATTATAAATACTTTACAACTTCATTAGTGGTTAGAATTCTAAAAGTAAAAATGCTTAGACCCAGTAGAGTGTATCATGAAGAGTCTTGGATAGGTAAAAACACTATTCTCACTGGTAGTATTTTGTTGTCAAAACTTGTAAAGGTCCCCAACCCTTGGTTAGGAGATGAAAAAGTCACAAAACCCAAGTCTTTTGGGATGTCTGTTTTATTTAGAAGGTTCATAACAGAGTTGGGGTTATTGTTGTGGTGCTATTTCTCATGCTGCTTTCTATGGTTAACTTGTTAAGCAGTATTGCATTTTCATCTAACTTCTGTTTTTTTTCTATTTTATTTTAGGTCTATAAATGGACTTGTTAAAATTGTGGAAACACAAAGATCAAGGTATTAAATGGCCAATATTACTAGGTACCAGATCCTGCTTATTTTATGACAGATGCAATTATGCTATTAGATCAGTTTGTGTAAAGGAAAACTATTGAATTAGAAATATTTAACTCAATATTTAATTTATGAATAAGCATCTGGATAAAGGAATTTTTTAAAAGAGGTAAAATGTATTTTTCTTTTGTATTGGTCTTTGTTACTGTTCACATTCTACACTCTAGTGTATAACTATTTAAAAAAATCACTATTAGATGTAGCTTAGTTTACAGACCTTATCATTAGTGGGTTTTATTGGACTTTGCAATATAACCATAAATATTTCTTATTTACTTGAGAATTGGATTTTACAGAAGCTTGGGCAGGTTTTTTTTTTTCCAAAGCATGCATTTTATTCTGATACAATTCTGGCTTTTAATTGTTACAGTTGCATTTTAGTCATGTTGCCATTTATGGAGTAATAACATTTGGAAAGTTCCTGAAAAATGCTAATAGAGATGTAGTTTAACTGGCTTCTGCATATTCCAACACTAGCTGATTTTTAAGTGAGTGCTATAGGTAGAAATTCAGAGTTTTTCGTAACTTGTTAACCAGATCTTGTAACTAAAAAGCAACTTGCAAGGCCAGGTTGTTTCTGAGCTACTCATTGATCATGTGCACCGTGATGTTTTCTTTTGGTTGTGTCAGCTTAAAGATTTTTCTCACTTATGCTGGCTGCTGCAAATAAGTTGTCACTACAAAAGATTTTGAAAGCTGTGCAAGTAAGTTTATATGAAGGAAAATTAATTGCATTGTTTTGGCTATTTTTCATTGAAATTCTGACTTGAATATCTTCTTTAATAACATATTAAATGGATATGGTATTCCCATGGACGTTAGGAGAGCAGTGTATCTTTCAGACTTCTAGGGCTCATTTGTGTACTATTACATCAGTTATTTGTATGATGATAAATGTCCCTATAATACAGGTTTCTGTTTTAAGCAATTTTTGAAGGAAAAGTAATAGACATAATAAAGTATAATTGGATTTTTAAAGTTATTGTCAAATGTAGTTGGAAAGTGTAGAGAAGAATGTTTGCTGCAGTTGGCTGATCAGGTAGAACCACCAAGTGATTGTAGAGTATGTATTTTGTTCAGTAACTCAGGCTTTTGAAGACAGGTGCTTGTCTGACTTCAGTCTGAAGATCAGCTCAGTTTACATTTCCAAAAATGTTAATCTCCTTAATTGGCTTTATTGGCTTTAACTTATTGGAAATTTTGTCTTACTTGTTTTATGCTCTGTTGTTGAACAGTTGTGCTCTGAAAAGCATTCTCTTTAGTGACTTTCCTGTTAGTTTATAAGGATTGTTTTGATGCTGTTTTCACTACTTTGTTTAAGGAGCAAGGTGAAATGTCTAAGTAGCTTTGACAACTTCACATTCCTTTCTGGTTATTGTGCAAATTCTGTTGAAGAATGCTTAGAACAAGACTAAACAATATTATGGAGGAGATCATAACTTCTGTTACTGAGAGTTATTTCACATTCATTAATTTTTTTTTGCTCTTCTGGTGCTCCTCAGTAAATATTTTCTCTTAGGTCAACATGTGTGTATTATATAAAAAGTTACTTTCTTCAGTGGATTTATTGTCATTTAGGGACTTAGATTCAAAACAGCAAATGTGGATAAACTTGTAAGTAATTCTTATAATTAAGCTTTTAATGTTTACCAGGTTGATATGTTAAAAGTTTTAATGTGTAAATAGTCATTCTAGATTCTGCTGCAAAATTTAGACTTTTGTTAATTTATCCCATTAAAGTTAAGTTGTATTAGAATAATGTTCCTGGAAGTTTTCTCTGCCTGTAAATGGAGGTGAGAATGCTGTAATGATACCAGGTTAATTTAATCAGGATTTTATTCTGAATGGAAATCTTGGATATTTACTTAAGGCTGATTTTACAATATCCAAATTTGTCTTTTGAGACCTCTGTATTACTTACAGTTTTCATGACATCTATGCAGTGTGGTATTTCTTCATCTCATATATGTATTTTGAGTGCAGCATGAATGATTGAAAGACAGAAGAACAAATACTGCAAACAGATGGAGTTACAGAGATACAGTTGTAGCCTTTTCCTTTCCTCCTGTTTAGTAAAATTTTGGGGATATGATACTAATTTTTAAAATTCTGGAATTTTTTACATTATGAAGAATGGGAAATTTTACTTTTGCCTCATAATGGGGAAGAAAATCATGAAGAGTGATCAGGGTTTAGGAAAACATATGAGAAAGATTTGCAACAGATTACCCCATCTGAAATCAAAGAAGTGGCAACATGATGATTTTACTGAAAACAAACAGTGGTTTTGAGAAAGCAGATCAGGAGTTCCTTGTTCTTTAGTTATAAGGCAGAGTACAGAAATGGTCAATGAAATGCTTTGGAGGGGGAAAAGAGGCAAACTCTTTATGGATAAAGTTAAATCACTCATAAATTGCATATGCATGGGTCTGCCCTAGGAAATTAGTGCAAGTTTGAGGCCAAGGTTTTTGTAACATAAAAAAAAAGCCCAACCAAAAACCTGTGTGTAAAGGTTATGATGGTATTCAGCATGGCTAACAATTTTGTAGAGGTATTGAAGTTCATGCTTTGTGTCTTAAATCAGTATTTGTCCATGTCCATTAGGAAGAAATCCAGTATGTGCAGTATCCATATCTGTATCATTCTATGGTGTCTGATGCCAGCCAGCATTAAATTTTGGATATTAGATTAAATGCACCTCAGATTCAGTCCTCAGTGATAACTCTTGTGTTACTAGTAAATATTCTTTAGTGAATGACACATACTGTCTCTACCATGATTAAACATTTCAAAAGTGAAAGAAGCATGAAATTAATTTATTAGCATGTTTCTGAGAACGTACCTTCTTTAATTTAGGGGGTTTTGTGCCTCAAAAGCCCACATTTAAAAGAGACCAATATAGCACTCTTGAGTGTTTCTGTATGATTTTTCAGAACACTATGGAGAATGAAAAACTGGGATCAAGCTGGTAATGAACTTTAGAGAGGGATTATTTATGTGTTTTATATTATAAAACTGTCATCTTAGAAGCTCCTACTGTTGGGTATAAAAGTTCAATAATACTGGCTACACTCCAGAAATTTTTTTTTGTAACCTCTCATACATACCTTGTATATAGCCACATATCATTAATTGCTTTTATAAAGTTATCAGTTGTTATTAGCAGTGAAGCCTGTAGTCTATGTTGCTTTTATAAAAAAAGTTTCTTATTCAAGTTTATAGATAGTTATTCTTACAGATAAATATGATCAGTGCTGACTGTTCCATATTACATTTTTTTGTTTGTTTCAGATGTTAGAGCTGAAATTGTTCATAGTATTGCTTGCTTCATAGTGTATTTCAGTTTTGTTTGCTAACAGTGCATCAGTATAAGCTACATATATTTCAGGGGTTTGTGTGTGTGTTGAGAGGATCTATATTAAGTGTGCAGAATAATTGCTGCTAAGAAATTCAGGGTTCCTTTTGCTGTTTAGGAAATATCAGTTATTATTCAGGCATCCAGTATGAGGGTTTTATCATCTTTCTTGGAAATACCTTGTATTTTATTATATTTTTTAACAATTATGTTTCTATACTTATGTATTACTGTGTAAATAAACACTGCATTTCCATGTAGGAGACAGTTTCAACCACCGACATCCAAAAATAAGGCTAAGGATTGATGGCATTAGTATGATAGACAGGAAAACAAACACAAATTTCAGTGAACCATTTTAAAAATAATTATTTAAGTATACATAATATTTAAGTATTGGAAAAATATAATGCTTTATTTTTTCCCTCTGTTCAGAGTTGATCTTTCTGATGTCTTGGACCTGCATGCTTTTGACAGTTTATCTGGAATAAGGTATGGTGATAACTTCACTGTCTTTCATCAGAGATTCTATCCATTGTATAAATACATGCATGTAATAGACACACTCAATCCTGGCTCAGACTTGCATCTGAGTTTCTGTTTAATCGTGTGTTTAAAACTCTCACTTTATAAGTGGTAATCTCAGGCTGAGAATTTTTTCCACTTGAAATGTGTGCAACAAAAGCTTTTTAACCTTGTAAAGTTAAATGAGCCAGAGCACGCATGGTTGGTTGGCTTTTTTCCCTACAATACAGGTTTTTGCTGTAATACCAGTAGTAGAGTAGGTTTGTACACTTTTCTGGTTCTCTTAAAGCATTTCAAAATTTTTCTTGCTTCACATCATGATGAACTGGAGGCCTCCTTAGTTTTCACATAAACCAATGAGGGACTGAGGTTTGACAACAAAGCAAGCCACTACAAATTCTGGTTACTGCGTTCCATGTTCTTGTGGTTTTTGATGCCAGATAAGTGGTTCAGCATGCTAGATGGGTGGGAAAGCAAAACTGGAGGTGAGGGGGAAATGGCTTTCTGTATGCTTTGTATGCTGGAGTTGTTCAGTGAAAAGAGCAAGGAGTATTGGAGTGCTCATCATATAAGAAAGAAAAAGGAGGGAATATGCAACTGAGATTAGTACCATCTTCCTGGATGCATGCTGTTCACTTCAGGTAAAGGAAATGTAGCCGCTTCCTTATTCACAGAAGGGAGAAATTTCAGAAGGTGCAAAAGCTAGTAAGCTCTAGTAGATGACATGCAGTCTTGAGATTTCCCAATGAACTGGTGCAGTATTATCCAAAGGATAGCCTGCTTTTCCTGACTCACCAGTGCCCTTTCTTTTTGCTGGCACCGGCTTCTGCCTGATCTGTGAAAAGTGGCGTTTGTTCCTTTTGAGCAGCTTGAATGCACCAGCCAGATCTGTACCAATGGCAGCATCAGGGAGGTACCAGAATAGACATCCAAAAGAAAGTTAAGGGAGGAGGAAAACCAATATATCCTTTCTAAGCAATATATAACTATTAGGCCATAAACCAGATCATAAACCCATGTCTTGAGTTCTTATGACGAATCAGCTAGCTAAACTGACTCATCTTGGAGCCACACAATGGAGAGAAGGAAGATGGGGACTGGAAGAGGATCGTTACTGATAATGTCAATTCACAGTTAGGTCTGATTAGCTGTACTATTAAGTGGTATTCTGCAAGGTTTGCTAGGAAGTGCTGTACTCTACATATCTGAGAAAGTCCTTAAGGAGCCAACCAAAAAATGTTTTTTTTGCTTTCCTTGGTCTAATCTTTTATCTCACTCACAGTTTCTATTCAACATTTGGTATTAAAACAAATGAAACAATCTAAAACTGCAGCATTTAAAAACATTCTAAAAGCACCAAGAAAGTTAGAGACATTTCTTCTGTTTTTATTTGAGCTGTATACAGCAAAATTGCTCACGGTGGTATCAGTTCATAGAAACAGAAATCCCTTCATGATATAGCAGTGGCTTCTGCCCTATCATCTGTAGCAGAAAAACTCTTTGCATCGAGCACCATTTGAGTGGTACTTGAAGAAATCTTGCACTGTTTTGATTAAAGACAGATGTGGGTGTGTAATCTAAAGTTGCAGTAAAATTTTATGCTGTCACACAAAATGATACAGTAAGACCCTGAATGAAACAAATCCCCAAATTCCTGTATGAAGTAGACAGGACCAGTTTTAAATTAGGCACACTGCACCCTAGGAATGAGCTGTACAACAGAGTTGAAATGGAAGCTGGTATATAGCATTTCACTTAGTGTTACAGATTCCATTCTCACAAGCAAGAGCTCTATACAATTTTTTTCTTTTCAAATAATTCTAATTTTTTTTCAAAAAATCAACATACAATGAATTGACAAATTAATAGAATCATAGAATGGTTTGGGTTGGATGGGACCTTAAAGATCATCTAGTTCCAACCCCCTGCCATGGGCAGGGACACCGTCCACTAGACCAGGTTGCTCCCAGCCCCGTCCAAACTGGCCTTGAACCCTTCCAGGGAGGGGGCAGCCACAGCTGCTCTGGGCAACCTGTGCCAGTGCCCCACCACCCTCACAGGAAAGAATTTCTTCCTCACATTTAATCCAAACCTTCCCTCCCTCAGTTTAAAACCATTACCCCTTGTCCTAACACTGTACTCCCTGATAAAGAATCCCTCCCCACCTTTCCTGTAGCCCCCTTTAAGTACTGGAAGACCACTATAAGGTCTCCTCAGAGCCTTCTCTTCATCAGGCTGGACCCCCCAACTCTCTCAGCCTGTCCTCATAAGGGAGGTGCTTCAGGCCCCTGATCATTTTCACGGCCATCCTCTGGACACGCTCCAGCAGGTCCATGTCCTTCTTGTGCTGGGGGCTCCAGAGGTGCACACAGCACTGCAGGTGGGGTCTCTCAGGAATGGAGCAGAGGGAGAGAATCCCCTCCCTCAACCTGCTGGCCACACTTCTCTTGAGGCAGCCCAGGATACGGTTGGTTGGCTTTCTGTGTTGTGAGTGCACAGTGACTGCTCATCTTCGGTTTTCCTCTACTAGTACCCTCAAGTCCTTTTCCACAGGGCTGCTCTCGAACCACTCATTGCCCAATCTGGAACCATGTTTGGGATTGCCCCAACCCATGTGCAGGACCTTGCACTTGGCCTTGTTGAGCTTCACGAGGTTTGCACAGTCCCACCTCTCCAGCCTGTCCAGGTCCCTCTGGATGGCATCCCTTCCCTCCAGTGTGTCACCGCACCACACAGCTCGGTGTCATTGTCAGACTTGCTGAGAGTGCCCTTAATCCCACTGTCAGTGTTGCCGACAAAGATGTTAAGCAGTGCTGGTCCCAACACCAACCCCTGAGGAACACCATTCGTCACTGGTCTCCACTTGGACATTGAGCCATTGACTGTAACTCTGTGTGTGACCACCCAGACAATTCCTTATCCACCAAGTGGTCCATCCATCAAATCCATGTCTCTCCAGTTTAGAGACAATGATGTCATGTGGGACAGGGTCAAATTCTAGTGATTCATGTTTTCCTTTTTGCTTTAATAGTGTAGTTTGCCTTTTGTTCCTACACAAAGGAGTGTCAAGGGTGTTGTATTTTTTGAAGTATAAATATTTAAAATCTTGAAGATACTGCAAGTCATTACTATAATTGTGTTTACATTTTAAAAAACCTAAACATTCTAATACATATCATTAACCAGATCAAGTCAGTATAAACAAATATCTCTATTTTCAGATTAAAACTGAATTAACAGTTAAAGTTTATTCTGAGTATATGGTCTATATTTGATATTTTAGTTTTGCATTGCAATACTGAAGAGTTTATTTAAATTTTGACATAATGACGTTTTGTCCTTTCTACTGAAACACGGCATTTAACTTATTTTCAGTTTGCAGAAAAAGCTTGAGATTGTAAAGACAACACACGGACATCTAGATAAGGTAAGTACCAAAAATACTGCTTCAGTATTTTTGTAACAACAATGTTTTTTAGGGTAACTGCAATCATTTTATACTAATCGTGTTACTTTTTCAGAAGGTATCATTTTGGCAGTAATGTGTTTTAAGGTCTTTGGAAGATTACACAGAATACATACAGAATATGCTTTGTTGTAGATAGATTCTAAATGGATGTAGGAAATCTTACTTTCAGAAATAGCTTATAGGCTTTCACTGCTCCAGACAGTCACATCATTCATTGATTCACATGGAGAGTGTTACTTAAACAGACAAATAGTACTACGCTTTTTAATATTTGCAGAAACAAGTCCTACATTTGTAGCCAGACTTTATCCTGCAGGTTTTCTGTCCTAACGTTGTCTGTGTATCTAGATATCAGGGAGATGTTACTCATGACTTTGCATGCTTTAAAGCTGTAATGAAACTTCAGTGAGTAGTTAAGCGTGTGTAGATTTCTGTTCTGTGAGCGCTTCCTACTGTTTTCACAAGAAGTAGTAGCAATGTAACTTGTAACAGTGAAGTAGATTGAGCCCTATATACTATGTATCAATCCTGTAAGTACATGTATACTAAAAAAAAGAAACATTTCTGCTGATGTAATTTTTAGTATGTGAAGTTAAACTCTGAAATGTATTCCTCCACCCTGGTACTCAACCCAATGTGTATTTATATCAGGGCAGAATTTTTTCTCTCCCTGTGTGCAACTGCAGATAGCATTTCTGCTTTTGTGGCTTTTATGTGAGCAAATACAGTATTTTCTGTGATCAGCATTTCTAATTTCAAAGAACGAATTTAAGGAAAAAAGGTCTTGTCCATCATCCCTACAGAATATAAACAGTTCTATGGTAATTGCTACTTTAACTACCTGTTTTATCCATGATGTACAGGTTTTACTAGAAAGGGTCCCTTTTATTTTTTTTTTCACTCTTTTCTTTTTCTGTTTGTTATCCAAATGTTATGATAACAGTATCTTTTTCTGCTTAGACCCTTCTCTAAAGCAAAACAGCCTTAAGTTAGGGAATTCCTGAATTTATTGCCAGGCAAGAAAAACTTATAATTACTGATTTGAGTTCTGAAAAAATGAAATGCAAAACAATTACACAAACACATTAATACATCTCTTTCTCCCTTTTTCACCCAATTTCCCCTATTTTTTTCAGAGTTACACTTTGTCCAGGATCTCTGAGCAAGCCCACATGTGGCATAGGAAGTTGGGGCTGTTTGTGTGTCATCACTGCTCTCTGTTCCTTAGAGTTCCTTTCGTGCGGTTCACAGAGCACTCTTAGTACCCATAGAATGCCCCTGCTCTGTGGGTAAACAGTGAGCTGCAGTCTCCTAGGGTTGTATGTACCCCCTTTGGCATGGCATGGCATGCCTCCTCCAAAGAGTCTTCAGTCACAAGTGGGTGCAGGTGTCTGCCCTTCTAACAGTGCCATGTGTTTCTCTGCCTGAAGATGTGTGGGATTTTTTTTACTGTTGTATGGTTTCAGAGCTGGCTGGAACAGGTTGTGAGACACAAGGCAGCTGATGGCCTTTCCCACACGCCTCAGCATTGCAGCCCCCTGCTACATAAGCCTTGTAAGCTTACACATACTTAAAGAGCTGTGTGAACTTGTGTCAGTTACAGACTCCACCCTTAATATCGTCAGAAACACCTAGTACATATGCCACTTAGACCACAGGGATTAATGTTGTAGCAGTCAGAATATTATACATGTTAAAATTGTTGTATTTAACCTCCATCTCCTGCTAAGTGGATTATGGAGGTTAGTATTATAAGAGTTTGAATTTACATTTTTCCATTGTAGACTCCACACTTTGGTGTAGATTAGTAAGGTTAGCATTGCTTACTGCAAAATTCAGGCCTTGTTCCTGCAAAACACCAAACCAAGCCACGGCTCTTTAATTTACTCGCTGTGTCTTAGAGTACAAGCAAATATTCAAGCAAACAAATTGTACAACCATAGAGTAACACCACTATTGCATATCTACTTGGTTTCCAAGTCCAACATCTGCAGTTTCATCTAAAACCCAAATGCATGGTAGTGACCAATGTCGATTTGATATAACATGGGCACTTTATCACTCAGGGAGTAAGCTGATGCATCAGATGACTTAGATTTACCAGAGCTTGCTTCATATCCTGTAACCACATTATCGGAGTTCTGAGCTTGTTATTCCTTAGTGTAGATCTTTGAAGGTCTTCTCTTCCCCTTTCCAAGTCCCAGTTTATAGGGTGGCAGCATGGAGATTTTTTATCCCCTCCTGACACTTTCACAACTTAATTTTGTTATGCTTTGCCATGAGGCTGATCTCACACCTGCCTCTGTCATGTTCACCCCAGTATGATACTCTAGGTCACTCCTTGATCAATAGGATGTCTCACGAGGTTATCAGGTGACACCAGAGGGGCAGTGGTGACTGTACCTAGCTGTCAGAGCTTTTGGTCTGTGGCCTCAGCCTTTTCGGGGTCCCTTACCCCTTGCCTGTAAACACAGCAGGAGTCAAAGTGACCACAGTCAGTTGCCCTTTCTTCCCAGTCCCTCCACAGGCGTCTTGTTTGTGAGATCAGCAGGACAGAGCTCAGCATACTGCTCCATCACTAAATCCCAGAGTCTCCTACTTTTGCAAGCGCCCTCCTCTAGCTTCCCAGCACTACCGCAGCCACCCCAGAAGCAACTTCTGGAGGCAGCAGCTGTAGGTGTCCTGAACTGCTTTAATTACTTTGAGTAAAAGGTCACAAAGTGGTTGCACTTTGGGGAGCAGTGCTGTCAGTTCTGCAGCACTGTAACATGGGCTGCCTGATACGACTCAATTTTAAACTGGCTTACTGTTTCCAAAGTAGATTGGATGTCTTCTCACACAGCTTTCCCTTTGCCCAGTTCAGTGCTACCAACTGCTAAGTTTTGATCCAGGTTTTGTCATTCTTGCTGAGCACTTAGGCACTGTATCTTATAGCAGACCATTAGTTTAACAGTGACTTGTCAGTCTGATGGTGATGAATTTTAAGTGGTCCTGATCTTTCCGACACTCTGTTTGAAGCATATGAGGCATGCCCCCACAGCAAAGCTGCACACCTCCCAGCGTTTTACAGGTGGTAGTTGTATCCCCCCTTTTGCAACTCCTGGGCTAATTTTGAATGCTGCTTTAGGGGACTCCATGGGCATGTGGGCTCAAAGCTGGCACCATACTGTGTCTTCCCAGTCATCTTCCTGCCCCACTAGGGCTTTCACAGGTCCCTACTTTTTCCAACAGCTTATACATTGTCTGCACACATCCACACACATTAAATGGATCGACCATTCACACCATAATGCTTGTATGCATGTATTATTAAAGAAATTATTGATGATTTTGTTGTGTGCAGCCGCTTGACCAGTAGGAAACTGTGAGAATTAATTGTTACTATCCCTATTCAACACCCACATTTTTGGGGATGGATGAGGCATAAATTAGAGCAGAACACCTCTTGCAGTAGGCTGTAAGTCCTTGGATGACAAAGAATGCTTATTGTCTTCATGTGGAAGGTCAACAGAAGCAATACTGTGTTATATGTGGAATGCTGAACTTTTGTCTGTCTTGTTTTGAAGCTGCTCAAAGCATTAGCTCTTGGTTGTTTTGGTGAATGTACTTGGTCATTAGATAAACATTTAGATTTGCTTCTTGTTGCTTTTATATATTTTTTTTTTTACGTTAGACTAGTCATCTAAAAGCAGTAATCATTTGAAAGAATTCTAGGTTGTACAGAAAGTAAGTCTCTGTATGTTCTTCTGTGCCACTGAGAGGTTATAGTGACAAAAATAAGTTCGAGACACATTATTTCCTTGATTTTTTAATAAATTGTTAATTTTAAACTACACATTTATTTTCATCTTCTGTTTTGATAATAATTGGTTTTGAGCAGTAAGTCAGTGGTTGCTTTGGAATAAAACATCACTTCAGACATCTTTATTTTTGGAATGTATTCCTACCTAGTCTATTTATAAAAAGCTTTTCAAAACAGGGAAGTATGGATACATGTAAAATGTTGATGAAGTTTTGTCTGATTGAATTGTGATGAAGATCAGACAAATTGTGATTTGTCTGAGATCCGATCTGTCAAAGATCAGAGAAATTGTGACAAAGATATGTATGCCAAGAAAATAGCATTCTTAAAAATATTTGAAAGATTGAGCTTACTAGCCTATAAGAATTAAAATTCTTAGGCTTTCTTTGAGAACAAACACCACCTACAGCAAAGAATTATGTGATAGAAGCTGATGGCATTAAACTATTCAAATTATTGCATATGCCCCTTATGTACACACCCAAACAGAACCAAAAAAGTATAGCATAATATAGCAAATTAGAGCAGAACAGAAATGGAGATTTTTAATTTTTTTTTTAATTTGACATGGCTATATAGTTGCTTTTTTATGAGGCCAAGTTATAAAGAATGCTTTTTGAATTTAATGTAATGAAATGTTAATTCAGTTTGGTAATAAGTGGGTCTTTCCATTTGCAGGGTATAATTACAGTAACATTTGAAGTTCCAGGAAGTATAAAAGAAGAAAACTTAAATCTCTTTATTCAGGTAGGTAATACATCACTGTCAACTGAAAAAGCATTGTGACTTTTTATAGAAAATCATCCTGTGCCATTCTGTTTATTGAAACATTTTTCCTTTTCATAGAATCTTTTGTGGGAGAAGAATGTGAAAGATAAGTCTGGGTGCACTATGGACGTCATAAGACTGAAGGTTAGTCAGAAATTACCAACTTCTTTGTTTTGTGCTTTTCTTCTTTTACACTTAAACTGCAGTGTGCTGTCAGTTACAGACCTGTCAAAGGTGCTACTGGATCCTTGTAGCAGAGCAGACAAAATGGAGAATAGCAGTTTGTCATTGTTCCGTGCAGAGACAGTTTGTTATCTGCTGGCTGGTGGAACAACTGAAAAGGAGATAGCTGACAGAAGCAAACATTGATCCTACTTATTTTGAATTGAGAGGTGAGATGTACAGACCTAAACATCAGTGGCAGATTTAATAATCAGGACACAGTTATATCACTTTTTAATTTTTCATCTCCATTGCTTTGAAAGGTTCCATTTATCTGACATAAAGGTCTCCTTATCTAGGGATTGGATACTGTAAATTGCTATGCATAATTATGATTGTTGGCATAATAGGCAGAATTTGAATTTGGCATAACATAGCAGTGCCATATTAGTTGTGGTCTACACTTAAAACCTTTTACAGTATTGTTAGACTGTGGTTTCAAAGAGTATTTAAAGAATATTCATCTTCATGGGCACTTCATATGTTTTTCAATTGCATGGTTTTGAGAGGAGTGTAGGTAGCAATTTAGGATATATTTTCATTTTCCTTATACCAAGCAGCCAAGTAAATCATTAAATAATGAGAATCAGGTCAGTCATTTGGTAGGCTGTAAGAAATACAAGAAAATATGCTCTGGTTTGTTTTCTGAGCACACTTGTGCATCATGGATAGAGACATAACTTTTTATTTCATTGGAAGAAAGGTTGTATTCTTGCTCTTTCAGCAAGAAAACAAGAATATCCTTGTCTTGCCCTTCCTGACAAACAGAAGAAAATAGCCACCAATGTGTCTTAAGCTGTCTGAAAACAGTACTGCTATGCACAAGTACATTTTTGTTGTGTTGAGCACTGGAACTGAAGTAATTCTTTAGATCTGAGGCCTATGATAAGCTGTGTGCTGGCCCTCAGTCACAGACAATACACCAAAGCAAATGAACCCCAGGTAATTATAGAATGTGTTCCAAAGTTTGTTGCTTTTATATTTATATTTTACCTGCAGCCATAATCCTTTTGGCAGTAATAATCATAGAATTCCAACAAATATGTCAAATGCAGCCCTCATTAAATATTTTTAACTCTTCTTTTTTTTTTTTTTGTAGGAAAGTGTAAGACATGTTTTACAGAATATGTTACACTAAAATATTATATTAAGTTTTACATGAAGTGGTGAAAACACTTTCAATACAGCTTTTGGTATGTGGGCTAATGGGCTTACTCTGACAGTAATCCCTTCTGATTCTGTTGCTAGTCATTTTAGTTCACAAATGTTTGGTCATTCTCCAGTATTCAAAGATTCTGTTTCAGCATGGTGAATATACAGAGCATGACAGCTTAATCAGAATAATCTGAAATCAAACATTTTTGCTCATTTTACATCATCTTTATTGGTAGTCAATCTTTCATAAACTCATATGTCATACACCATATGTATATTCAAAGTGACATAGTAGCTGATGGTATTGTATTTTTACTTGAACATCCTAGATGCTGTCCAAATGAGGAACAGAAGGCAGAGTATGGCAAAGTGTAACTATTAGTCTTTAACAAAATAAGAACATGTGAGAATGGATGTTACAAGTAGAAGTGATCATACCACATGGTTATTTAGACTAACTGGTGCATAGTTGCCAGAAGTATTTTTCCCTGCTTGGCTTAGTTTCAGAGTTTTTTCCCCCTCTTACTTATTTAATTTTTAAAGGTTGTTTATATATCCTAATAATTATTTTTCTGATAAGGGCCTGGTATCTATTCAAGGCAAATCTCATCAGGTGATAGTCCAAGGTGTCCATGAGCTGTATGATCTGGAAGAGACTGTGGTAGCCTGGGAAGAAGATGAAAAGAGAACAAATAGACTGGTACTAATAGGTAAGAAGAAATGATGTATCTCCTTGTTTGACTTTAAGAAGCTGTTCTTTCAGCAGACAGTCCTGTGACTTGTCCAGTGAAAAGCAACCAGCTTAAACTGGCCAGAATAACAGTGAGGGTGTTCAGTATAACCTTCAGTCAAAGATGTATCCATCAAGACCACCTACAGTTTTATATTCCAGCTGAGAGGAATCTATGCCATCCCGTTTAGTGAAATAAAATACTAAGCATTCATAAATTGTGTTGGCATATTTTATTTTTAAAATCTGTAATTGTAAATATGGTGATGGCAATGGTTTGAATGTTTGATCAAATATTCAGTAACTGTAAGGAAAGTATTATCACCATAAAAACGTATAAAATCTGTTTTGTTTCTGAAAAGCTTGTACTGCTGATTTTGTACATTTCTGTTTCTTACTTGTTAGTCTCTGCAACGTGTTTTTATGACCGAAAACTCCCTGGTTTTGCTTCCTTTCCCTTATACAGCTTGAAGTCTGTTGTTGCCTGTAAAATCAAAAGTTATCTTGTTATCTGCAACTCCATTTTAATACTGCTGTTTTCACTCATTGGTGTAATAGACATTGTTTTTGCTGAGAAGACTGTCAGGTTGCTACTTGCATGCATTTTTTCAAACACACTGTAAAATATACTTACTAACTTATTTCTCTTTACAGGTAGGAACTTGGATAAGAAGACCATCAAAGAAGTATTCATAGCCACTGTGAGAGAGAAACAAGGGAACAGTTGACATCAACCTACAGAAAAGATGAAATGTATATGCTTAACCCTGCAAGCTTTTTGTGACAGAAAAGATTGAATGACATGCAGTATAGTAATTTCTTTTTCCTTTTGTGTTTTACACAACAGTTAAACCATAGAATCACAGAATCACAGAACAGTTTGGTTTTGAAGGGACCTTAAAGATCATCTAGTTCCAACGCCCTGCCACAGGCAGGGACACCTTCCACCAGCCCAGGGTGCTCCAAGCCCCGTCCAACCTGGCCTTGAACCCTTCCAGGGAGGGGGCAGCCACAGCTGCTCTGGGCAACCTGTGCCAGTGCCCCACCACCCTCACAGGAAAGAATTTCTTCCTCACATCTAATCCAAACCTTCCCTCCCTCAGTTTAAAACCATTACCCCTTGTCCTAACACTGTACTCCCTGATAAAGAATCCCTCCCCACCTTTCCTGTAGCCCCCTTTAAGTACTGGAAGACCACTATAAGGTCTCCTCAGAGCCTTCTCTTCATCAGGCTGGACCCCCCAACTCTCTCAGCCTGTCCTCATAAGGGAGGTGCTTCAGGCCCCTGATCATTTTCACGGCCATCCTCTGGACACGCTCCAGCAGGTCCATGTCCTTCTTGTGCTGGGGGCTCCAGAGGTGCACACAGCACTGCAGGTGGGGTCTCTCAGGAATGGAGCAGAGGGAGAGAATCCCCTCCCTCAACCTGCTGGCCACACTTCTCTTGAGGCAGCCCAGGATATGGTTGGTTGGCTTTCTGGGCTGTGAGCGCACAGTGACTGCTCATGTTGAACTTCTCGTCAACTAACACCCTCAAGTCCTTTTCCACAGGGCTGCTCTCTATACACTCATTGCCCAGCCTGTATTTGTGCTCATGATTGCCCTGACCCATGTGCAGGACCTTGCACTTGGCCTTATTGAACATCATGAGGTTTGCACAGTCCCACCTCTCCAGCCTGTCCAGGTCCCTCTGGATGGCATCCCTTCCCTCCAGCGTGTCAACCGCACCACACAGCTCGGTGTCATTGTCAGACTTGCTGAGGGTGCTCTCAATCCCACTGTCCATGTCTTAAACAAAGACCTTAAACACCACTGGTCCCAACACCAACCCCTGAGGAACGCCACTTGTCACTGCTCTCTACTTGGACATCAAGCTATTGACCACCATTCTGGGTGCAACCACCCAATTCCTTATCCACCAAGTGGTCCATCCATCAGATCCATGTCTCTCCAGTTTAGAGACAAGGATGTTGTACAGGTCAGTGTCAAAAGCTTTGTACAAGTGCAGGTAGGTGACGTGAGTTGCTCTTCCCATATCCAGCCGTGCTGTAACCCCATTGTAGAAGGCTATCAAATTGGTCTGGCATGATTTGCCCTTGGTGGAGCAATGTTAGCTCTCACCAATCACTTCCTGATTTTCCATGTGCCCTAGCATAGTTTCCAGGAGGATCCATTCCATGATCTTGCAGAGCAGAGGTGAGACCAACTGGCCTGTAGTTCCCCGGGTCTTCCTTTTTTTCCATTTTTATAAATGGGGATTATGTTTCCCATTTTCCCATCAGAGGGAACTTCAGGGAACTGCCATGACTTCTCAAATATGATGGAGAGTGGCTCAGCCACTTGATCCATCTGTTCCCTGAAAACCTGTGGATGCATCTCATCAGGTCCCGTGGACTTGTGCAGCTTCAGGTTCCTGACCTGGTCTTGAACCTGATCTCCTGCAGTGGGCAGTTCTTAATTCTCCCAGTCTCCACCTTCTGCATCTGCATGGTCTGGCTGGAGCCTTTGCCAGTGAAGACTGAGGCAAAAAAAGTCATTGAGTACCTCAGCTTTTTCCATATCACAGGTAACCAGGTCTTCTCTTTCCTTCCATAAAGGGCCCACATTTTTCTTAGTCTTCCTTTTATCACTGATGCACCTATAGAAGCTTTTTTGTTGCCCTTGATGTCCCTGGCCAGATTTAACCTGATCCCTGGCAGCTCAGACAGTTTCTCTGTTTCTTGTAGGCTATCTGTCCTTGCTTTCACCCTCTGTAGGCTTCCTTTTTGTGTTTGAGTTTGTTCAGGAGCTACTTGTTCATCCATGCAGGCCTTGTGGTGTTCTTACCTGAGTTGTTCTTTGCCAGGATGTGTTGCTCCTGAACTTGGAGGAGGTGAACCTTGAATATTAACCATCTTCCTGGGGCTCCTCTTCCCTCCATGGCTTTATCACATGCTCTTCTGCCAAGCAGATCCCTGAAGGGGCCAAAGTCTGCTCTCCTGAAGTCCAGGATAGCGAGATGGATGTGTGGTCTCCTCGCTGCCTGAAGGATCTTGAACTCCACCATTTCACGGTCACTGCAGCTGAGGCTGCCCTTGAGCTTCACACTATGCACCAGCCCCATCTTGTTGGTGAGAGCAAGGTCCGGCATAGCACCTCTCCTTGTTGGCTCCTCTACCACTTGGGGAAGGAAATTATCATCAGTGCATTCCAGGAACCTCCTGGGTTGCTTATGCCTTGCTGTGCTGTCCCTCCAACAGATATTGGGGTGGTTGAAGTCCCCCATGAGGAGAAGGACTTGTGAACATGAGGCTGCTCCTATCTGTCTATAGAGGGTCTCATCTGCTTGGTCTTCCTAGTTGGGTGGCCTGTAGCAGACCCCCACTGTAACATCTGTCCCTGCCTTCCCTTTAATCCTGACCCACAAGCTCTCAGTCAGCTCTTGACCAATCCCCAGGCAGAGCTCCATGCACTCCAGCTGGTTGTTGACATAGAGGGTGACAAACCTCCTTGTCTCCCCTGCCTGTCCTTCCCGATGAACCTGTATCCTTCCATTCCAACACTCCAGTCATAGGAGCCATCCCATTGTGTCCCCATGATGCCAATAAGATCGTAGCCCTGCAGATGTGTGCACATTTCCAGCTTCTCTTGTTTATTCCTCATGCTATGTGCATTTGCATAGAGGCATTTAAGTTGTCCCCCTGGTGAAGCTGACTGGAGAAGGCTGGAATTCCTCTGTGCTGCTCTTCAGGTGCTCTCATGCTGCCCTCTGACCCCTCTCCAGGCTCTGGGCATCTATTGCTGGCACTGCCATCAAACTGGTAGGAGTGGGATTGGTTGAGGTTCCCCTCCCCTGACAACTCGAGTTGAAACCCAGAAGTCCTGAGAATCCCAGCTGTTGTACTGCTTAAAGATTAGCTCTTATGGTCTAAAATCAAACACAAGGATTCTACCATTTTGGATTAGGCTTAAGTTATGTCAGTAACATCATGTACCTCTGCAGAAATGCAGATTGGCAAAAGGCCGTTTATGCTGTACATGAAATATTACAGTAAGAATATGGTAAACATGTTTAAAGCCTAGTGCTTTCTCCAGTGCCTAATGCTTCTACTGGTAGTGAAGCAACAGTGATTATTGCCAGTGATGTAATCACAGTAAAAAATATCTAGTGTTTACTATTAAACTGTCTTCCATCTCTTTCCATGTGTTTTGTGATTTTTTGAGTGTATGCATCCATCCCAGGTGCCATTAAGCCTATATTATAAATGAAACTGAGAATACATACATAGCAGAGGCTCAAGACCACATGGAATATATACTATCTTCATTATAGCTATGAATGCAGCATTCAGTCACATAGCCAAAATGTTGAAAGATGTCGCCTGACCTCATAGATCTTCTGGGCCATGACCCTGCCAGTGCAGGATTTGAGGGACCAGGGGCAGCACATTTTCACTGTGTTGTCTAGGATGCCCCGTGTGATTTGTTATGGGTTTCCCTGACTCTGCTTTTGGATGCTGCTTAGAAATCTTAGTCTGAAGCTTTCATCTCTGTGCTCATTACTTCTACAATTTAGAGTTCAACTTCTTGCCCTGTACCTTCTCTGGTAGTCATCGTTCACCACTTAGGTTTAGAGGGATATGTTGGCTACAGCTGGGTGAATGTGAAATGAGTGAATGCAAGAAGATAATGTGGAATTAAAGATGTTTCAAAACATAATTCTATGACATGCAGCAGATATTCTGAAGAATGGATTCTTAGCTACAGTGCTACATAGATGCTTGCAGATACATCTGTATAAGTAGAAATTGTGTTACTTGTCAAGTATGTAACATTTACTTTATGATAAAAGGTGTATCAACCTAAAAAAAAAAAAAAAAGGAGGCTGTTCCCTTATCAGCAGTCCTAAAAAATTTCTTTTTGCTTCTACTAAAATAAGTGAGTTCATAGTTTGTTTCCAAAAAGCTAAGGAAGGAGACATTGTTAATCTGTCACTGCCAGGAGCTGGTCCACTAAGATAGAGCTCTTCAGTCTCCCAGTAGATACATAATCAGACATGACTTCATTCCTCACATTGTAAGTAGTTTTAGATAGCTTGAAGAAATTTCCAGAAATTTTAACTATTTCTGTAAACTAAGGCAAGGTAAAAGGAAAGAACAATCTGTTTACAATGTTGCTTTCTGTTTAGTGGAGCGCTGGTGCATTTGAGTGAGATGGGCATATTGTTGAGTCACATTGTGATGGTTTCCCTTAGCAATTGCATCTCTTAATTTTGAAAACTCATACATATTCTCACATGGATACATGTTTTGGATTGCATAAATGTCACTTGTTCCTGCATAAAAATGGATTGCCATCAGTGTTATGGATTGAGTTGTAAACATCATGTAAGCACAAAATTGTGGAGAATACATTTGTATTTGTTGCTGCTTATGGTTCCACTGGTCATGGTCATAGAGAAAGGGAACAAATATCTTCTATCTTACAAATACTTCATGTTATTGAAGAACTCTATCATGTTTGGAAACATTAATCTCTGGAGTGCCCAACTGATCATTCATTTTTCATTTGAAAAAAAAAGTTTGGAGATTTAATAGGAAGAGCTTCAACCATGAGTCATAAGGGAACAAGCCATGGATGGATTACACACTTACTGTCATATTTTGGATGTTTATTTTTTATATTTGCTCACCAACCACCTACTCCAAAATTCCCATGATGACTGTCAATATACTGGTTTGTTGTGTGTTGTTGTTTGCTTTTTTGTTTGCTTTTCTTTCTGTAATGTGTCTTTTCTGCAGCTGGGAATCTTATTCTGTATAGCCCATCTTGCTATTACTCATTCTTTGTCTGCAGGACTTGGCCTGCGCTGCTCGCAGTGGTAGCGTCAGGAGCTTTAGTCAGGGTGCACAGCTTTTTCTCTCC